TTTTTTTTTTTTCCTGTGGATATTCAAACATCTCGAATTGGACTTCATTTCAGTTTTTGTTTTTTTCTTGGGTTCCAATTTCATGCTTGCCTTTTATTCATCTTTCTTTTCCACATTCTTTTTTTTTTTATTTTTTTTTTATCATGATTAGTTGCAGTAAATATCAAACAAGTTGGTTTGTGTAAAAGCCAACATACTTAAGTTTTGTACTTATAATGATAATGTTATGGTTGGGTCCAAATGAACAAAATGAAAATGGAAGCCTCGAAATACGAAGTTATTATATTTGGGACTTCAAATAATGAAGATTCATAAATAGGGGCTTTGTCATGAAATTCTCTCATCTTCTGAAAAGCTGAGGTGTGTATAGGGGCTTCAATCTGCCGGGTCAACTAACAGTTAGGGTATAGCATAAGCGGCATCTAATCCTTACTGCAATTATTGCAATTTTCAAAGTTATCTGATTTCCTAAAAGCCACAAACTTCAGTTGTAGATTCTTCTGTTATACCTTTTATCTATCTCATATTCTTATTGTTTAGCTTTTTCGGCTTGACATGAACAGTCTCTGCTTCGATATTTCTTCTTACTATAGAAATATATCATTATCTTGCAGATTCTGAAGCCGGCGTTTACTGTATTGGTCGATCACAAAACCAAAAGTTTTCTGCTACTTATTCGTGGAACTCATAGCGTCAAAGATACACTAACAGCTGTAACTGGGGCTGTGGTCCCATTCCATCACACAGTGGTGTGTGAAGGAGGTGTTAGCAACTTGGTCTTGGGTTATGCGCACTGTGGAATGGTTGCGGCCGCTCGATGGATTGCGAAACTCGCCACTCCTTGCCTTCTTACAGCATTAGGCGATTATCCTGATTACAAACTTAAGGTTTTAACAATTTCTTTTGCATTACATTTCACTTCTCTTCTTATTATCTTTATGTTTCAAAGTTATATTCTAATTGTTTCAGAACCATCTGCTTTTGAAAATATATTTATAGCACATCTTGGTGTCCAACTCTGGCCTAGTACGCTAAACCATATTATCTGCATTCATGTGTGTGTTTTACTAAGAGAAATAAACCTTTTATTTTTCATGAAAAATATTATAAGGTGATGTAGTTGGACATTAGGCTGTATTTTAATATCCTCTGGCTCTATTCGTACTGAATGTCCATTGCATATGGAGCTGGAAGAGTCATTGTTGACAATTCTCCTAGCATAATGCTAATAATGGACTAGATCAAAATGGCTCAATTAAATTCTAGTGCTTCTTCTATTAGTGAAGTTTCTAGAAAAAAATATATCAAACGACGCAACGCACCTTGGGTCGCTATGGAAACAGCCTTCTTGTATAATTACAATTTACAAGGGTAAGGTCTGCGTACAACTGAGCCCCCAGACCCCAACCTGTTGGGAATATACTGGGTATGTTGATGTTGGCTCTATTGGTACTGATATCTTTGTGGCAAATCAGATTTATTGATATATTAGTGCTGTTATGTTTTTCTTTTCATGCTCATTCTCATTGCACCTACAATATTTACTTATTAATTAATTATTTTTTGTATGTTGTTTACAGATTGTAGGACATTCTCTTGGTGGTGGAACAGCCGCTCTTTTGACATATATTTTGCGCGAGCGCAAAGAATTGTCAACTTCTACCTGTGTTGCATTTGCTCCAGGTTCTTTTGTTGATTTTTTTTTCCTTAACACACCGCTTTACATTTTTGGTTCTGTCAATTGACATTGCTTTTGTTTTGCATTCTTTATGCAGCGGCTTGTATGACATGGGAACTGGCTGAATCGGGAAACGACTTTGTAACTTCTGTGATAAATGGGGCTGATTTAGTGCCCACATTCTCGGCTGCATCAGTGGATGACTTGCGTGCTGAGGTATTTTTTTGAGAAAATCTGTATGGATAATATGAGAAATTAATTATCTGTCTGCATTTATCTTAGCATGTTCACGTATTAAACAAAATACACATGAGTGATTTGTTTGGTGCTGTGAGTAATCACAGTTGATGCTTTGTATGAGGATTTATGTTTGGACTTCGAGAGGATTAGTGCCTTAGACGTGTTGAGCATATTCAATATGGTCACCTTGTCTAGTCTAGTTTGTTTGTTTTTTTTCCTTGACATAGTTTAATCATTATTGTCTATTTAGTAATTATTACTCATTTTTTTCCGAATGATTATAAAATATTCGAAATGTAGAAGGCTAAAGCTTTACTGTAGATTTTGCAACAACCCCAGATGAATATTTTTCGTAATGTGTTGATTTGTTGACCAAATGATAATCGTTTGTAGGTCACAGCATCTGCTTGGTTAAATGATCTGAGGAATCAAATAGAGCGCACGAGAATACTTAGTACGGTTTATCGATCAGCTTCAGCATTGGGTTCTCGCCTTCCTTCGATGGCCACTGCCAAAGCAAAAGTTGCTGGTGCTGGTGCCATTCTACGTCCCGTCTCTAGTGGTACTCAGGTAAATGCTTTCTGTTGGTCAATGATTGAAAACAAAAACTATCTTAACTCTCAACTGTGAACCAAGACATGCTTCCTGTTCTACGTTCCTCTTGTTTAACTGTAGATTTTTAGTACTGAGTTTCTTTTTCTTCTCCAAATTTGATTGTTGGGATGCAGGTGGTGATGAGGCGAGCCCAAAGCATGGCCCAAGCCGCATGGTCTCGGCCCAGCCTCAGCCTATCCTCATGGTCCTGCATGGGCCCCCGCCGCCGACCCTCAGCCCCACAAACCGACCCGTCCGAGCTCCTCATCTCACCCACCGCCGACAAAAAACCCACAACTGCCCCGGTCTCCAAAACCGACACTCAAACCCCTAAATCATCCCCAAAAGGACCGACGGCAGAAATCACCCTCGCTGATGATGATGACATCGATGACGTCATCGATCACGAGGACCGCATGACAGAAGTCGAGCTGTGGCAGCAGATCGAGCGCGAGCTGTACGAAAACGAAGGGGTCAACGAGATTGTGAAAGACGAGATCCGTGAGGACGACGAGGTGGCGGAGGAGGAGGTCGTTACGGATGGCGGGCCGGGAGGTGGGTCGGTTCCCAATGCAAAGGAGGTGCATCGGTTTTTTCCGGCGGGGAGGATAATGCACATCGTGATGCTGGCGACAGCGGAGGACGATCGGGAGGGCGGTGGTTTGCCGGAGGATGCACGAGAAGATGGTGGTTCGCCGGAGGATGCGCGAGAGGGCTGTGGTTCGCCAGATGAGAGGGTGGCGATTTTCTTGACTCCGAGGTCATTGTACAGCAAGCTGAGGCTGTCGCAGACAATGATTGCCGACCATTTCATGCCGGTGTATAGGCGGCAGATTGAGAGGCTGATTAGGGAGCTCGAGGGTGGGGGAAGTTCTTCCGGTGGAGTTGATGAAGTTCATTAGGGATTTTTTTGTTTTTTTTTTTTTTGGGTGGGTTGAAGCAAGTGTTTGAACTGATTTTGGAAGGTGGGACTAGTGTAGGGTGGATTCTTTATAATCGTTTTTTGTATTTGGGCAGTGAGATAGTTGTTTGTATGTATAGGACCGACTGTTATCTGTTGTACATTTTCACCAAGCCAGCATCGGCGGTCGGAGAGCATTTTCTTTGCGATATCGGCTTTGCTTACATATTTTGTCAATTTTGTAGGCAGCGAAGGAACTTGAATACACCAGCTGTGTTTTGTATAGGGAAAAATTCGAGGATCCATCTCCCATAAAGCCTTCATTTATTATACACCGGCTGTCGGAGAGTTAATAGAATGAATAAGACTACATCACTGACACAGATACAACGCCTCATTCACACACTCACTCCCTTTCTTTGTTGTCGCCCTGCACCCGCCACCGTTGTCCTGCACCCACTCATCGCTCTGCAAATGAATACGCCACCGCCCTCCACCAATCTCAATTTCAAGCTTACTTAGTTGCGCCACCCGCCGCCGCAATGTCCCCGTCGTTACACCATCAGAAAGCGACTGGAGGACTGCCTCTGATTTTTTGTTGCAGCTGCGAGCGAATGCAATTTGTTGAGAAGCAGTAACGAGCGGACATGACTTTTTGACGCGGTTGCGACCTCGGCCTGAACTGACATCTAGGATCTCGAGACCGCAGAAAGGACACCGACGACATCCGAAGAGAAGCGCCTGGTGTTGATATCCGAGTTAGCCAGGAATGAGCCGGGGAGACGTTGCCAACCGACTCGAGCCAAAAGCCCGGTCTGATGAGGAAGTGCCGAGCTGGATCATGGATTAGAGTGGCGGGAATCCGTCCTGGGAACAGATTCTCAGCCCGGCTCCCGTCTCAGACCGGGCAACTGCCGGCCTGAGTGGGTGCCGAACACGAAGAAGACTATTCGTAGTCTGAAGAGCATCTACGAACGAAGTGTCGACCTGAAAGTACGAAGAGGCCGACCAGGGACGACGCATGGGTTTCGATGAGCATTAAAATATTCCCACTTGGGAGGTCATCATTGGACGATGGAACAGGTAATCATGGCCTAGCCCCCTACCAGCCAGCCTAAGTCAGCCAAGCCATCCAGCATTAAATGCCCCCCATGCTGGCATTTAATGCCCGTCAGGCAATGATTGAGGAAACCTCAAATCGCATTAAATAACCGTCAGACGGACGCCGAACTGCCCTGCCGGATTACTGTGCGACAAGACCAGTGAACAGTAGCTGAATAGTGCCACATTAAAGACCACTACAAATAGCAGTTCATCTCATTTATTTTGGGTTGTTGAATTCCAACTAACTCCTGCCTTCTCTCTATTTTCTCTCTCTAAACTGTAAGAAGCTCATTGTAAGAACTGTAAGTA